TGAATGTTACAAAATGAAAAAGAATAAGTGTGGCTCTAAAGAAGAACCAACATAAGAAGTTACATCCACCCTATTTCTTTTCAAAGGTGAGAAGTCCACAAGGGCTATACATGGCACATATTTTCAGACTTTTTTGATGAACTGAACAATTATGCTGATTTTTTCCTCTACCTTTCTCATCTTTAAAAATATTATTTGTTAGGATATCAATAAAAATTTATTTTTAAAGAAAACAATATGAGAAATACAAAACCAAAGGGATTAGATAGAACTTCAGAGGGACTTAGAAATCAGAGCAAAAGCATTTTTTTTGGTTCACCACAACCTATTATTTCAGTTGGTTGCTTATACTTTGTTAACTAAGGGTGTTAAGATTTTATTACCTATGATGTATGTTTCTTAGTGTTTGATGACAATTAAATTTGTAACTATGATAATGATATTTATAACAATAAAAAACTATTTTTTAATTCCAAAAAGAAAATGCATTAAACTACACTGGCAAGAAGTTGAGACTTTGGCAAGTAAATATCAACAATTCACTGCAGTGTTTTAAGTAGTATGATTTTCCGTGAAAATGTGTTTAATAGGAATGTATGTGTATAGCCTATTTCAGACTGCATGCCATCTTGGGGAGGGAGGTGAGGAGGGAAGGGGAGAAAAATTTTAAACTCAAAAGCTTGTGGAAGTGATTGTTGATAATTCAAAATAAATTAATTTTAAAAAAAACAAAAAAGAGTCTAATGTAGATCTTTAATAAACCTTGTCTTTGGCTGAAAAAAAATAAATAGTATCACTCTCCAAAGAAAATAGCTCATTATAGAAATTTTAGAAAGAAAAACTCTAACTTAAATAAAAGCACTTTCCTTTTTCTAAGTTTTTCTATTTAATAATAAAAAAAATCTGGCACATCCCTTTCTGATTTTATACTTCTTTGATAATAACATTGATGATGTTTATCCTGTACAATCGTTTAAGAGTAATACACTGCAGCCTACTCATGCACACCATGCCCTTTGGGTGACCTAAAACTTTGATTCTTTAGAGACTGTGGTATTCCATGCTTTATAACCATAAGCACCACCAAAAGTATAGCAGATTGATAGGCCACATAGCACAAAGAATAACTGACTGAGGGAAAGCCCTGTGCTCCATTGGAGCACTCTTGAACAAATGCACCCCAAACCAAGAAGTACGAAAAAGGAAGGTTCCACCCTCCCTCTCCCACTACCAGCATGATGGATGGAGCCCCTATGAAGGATTTACAGGAGGATATGACAGACAAGAGTATCATTGAATAAGATGAGGATGGCCACACACTGATGGAAATTCAGCAAAATAAACACTGCAATAAAAAAAGAGAGTCAACTACATAGTAATTTATTCTCTTTTGAAGACATTCTTATCAAATCCTAACTACAGGCACATCTCGACTTTAAAAAAAAAGTATTCCTGGGGAAAAAATTCTATAAAGCAAATTATTCTGTTAAATTCTATTTTCTCACTCATTTTTTTGTCGATGAAGATGTGTCCTTGGTTAAAGGTCTGATAGCTTAACAAACCAAATAGCATGTTATTCTGCTTTTAGCAACCACAATATTTTAGAACAGAACAGGATGGCATTCTCTGTTCAGCGTTGCTCAAACCACTTCTAAGCATGAGGTGGAAGCTTCTTCGATTTTAAAAATCAAGTTAATTTGAACTGAGAGGAACTAATCAAAATTATTCAAAATACCAAAGTAAATAAACTAATAGGAGAGTTTGTTTATTGGAATACATGGCCAAGAGGACCTAAAAATTCCATAAAGTCAAATATTCAACAATTTCCATATGTCAACGAATTTGTGATCTTGTCCACATGGGTATTGAGGCAGCTAGATGATTCAGTAGATAGATCACTAGGCCTAGAGTCAGGAAAATCTGAGTTCAAATCCTGTCTCTGACACTTCCTAGTTGTGTGACCCTGGGGACAAGTCACTCAAGCAGTCTGCCTTAATCTATGGAAGAAGAAAATAGCAAACCACTCCAGTATCTTTGCCAAGAAAACCCCATGGACAGTAGACATGAGTAAACATCAACAACAAACAACCATATATGTACTCCCTCCAGTGATGAGTTTCAATCCAGTCATTAACTTCTTACCTACAGGACTGCTGGTCACGACCTCCCATAAATCCTCCATGGGGGGACTTTTCCAACATGTTGGGTGTCTTCAAGTAACAAATCTATTTCCTGCTTTATGTTTTGTAAGTTTGAATATCCCTATGTTTAATTTAAATAGGAAGCATAACATAAAGCATTAAGCATTGTAGAGGCTATAGAAGTAGTACAAGACACAGCCCCTATCCTCCAGGGGCTTACAGTCTAGTTGGGAGATAAGACTCAGCCATAGGTAACAAATATTGTTGGAATTTAAATCACTTTTGGCTGGTTGATAGGAGCGGTAAGGGGAAAAAATTCTTAGTTGTTGCAGAAAATAGAATGAATAAAAGAGAATAAGTTTGGTCACTTCAGATTACCTACAAGTCTACAAATGGCAGTCTAAAAATACCTTGAAACCTCTACTTAGGCATCCAATATTAATTAATTGATAATGATCCTAGAGAAAAAAACTAAAAAGATCATTGGTTTGCTGAGAAGAAATTCTACTTCAAGAAAAAGTCAAGGACACATTTTTGTAGACTTTCTGCATGCTAACCATGCTGTATCAATTTTTTCTAATTTTTTCTGTCAACCTAATTATCAAAAATGAGATTCTACAAGGTTTTTTTTTCCTGCTCACATTCCTACAAGAATTGTAAAAATTCACTACTGTCCACTAAACAAGGCCAATTTTCCAAAGAGACAGTTACAGAATGTAGACTGGAAATGTTATTAATTTCAAATTCATCAGAAAATGAGTCATATCAAATAAGAAGATATATTTCTTTCAGAAAAAGACCTGCTTGGGTCAGCAATCTTGGGAAGAGGCATACAAGAGAGAACACAGAAGTTCATTCTTTATTTTTCGTATAAGTCAAGACTACAACCAGGAAAATAAGCTAGAATGAATCACTTTGCCTTGGAAACACTTTGTTGGCAGACTCTTCTTAGGTATTTATTCATTGCATAGATTCAAACTGCGAAACATGAAAGGAAAGAGGAGAAACTGGATTCATATCTACTCTTGCAAAGGAAAAAACAACCAGTTCTAAAACTTGGCCAATAAAATCAGCTGGATAAATTTTAGAAAAGTACTTATCAAGGAATACACTTTCACAAATACATAAGATTTTGCTGCCTCCATATTTGATTCACAATTCAGTTTATCAGGCCTCACATGAAAAAATGGTGAAAACATATTTAGATAGAATTCTCCAATCCATTTTTTTTTAAAAAAACTAATCTATTTTTAACAATATTTTTGTAATTAGGAGAAACAAAATTATATGGCCAATTTCAAGCTGTCATCATCTTAATTCAGTTTGGAAACGATTTAGTGTCTATGTGCCTTGAATTACATTACACAAAAATTTCCAAACCTTTAAAAGGAAGACTTAAAACCAAAATTATCAAGGCTGTCTATACTATTTTCATAAAATAAACTTTTAAGTTGAGTTCATTTCAAGAAGTCCTTTTTTCCTAATAAAGAACACAAAGGCTGGAAGCTGATCCCTCAAGGTCCCATTCCAGCCTTGCGACTGTAGATAACACTAGGTGCTGAGTTCTCAACTTGAACTGAGATAATATAAAGGACTCCGATAATGTGAAGACTGACTACCCTTCCACAATATGATCAATTGGTAATCTAATTTTCTTTAGATAATCAACTATTATTCCAACTAAAGCAGGAAATGGCAGACTTTACTGTTTATCTGAAATAATGCTACGTAAAGATTTAAGTTAGAACAAAATGGCACCCTTTTCCTAAAATCGATGATACATCTCTTAAAGGCTGCCACATGCTAAACACTGCACTTCCATTTAAAGATATGACAGGTACTCAGAAAGGAAGGATGACACAAAGCAGCCTGTGTAATAAGTGAAGCAGCCACCTAAAACGGTCAGACCCAGGAGCAAAGGATCCCCTGTGGGCAGTCTACCTAAAGAGTACATTAAAATAGCTAGTGACCTTAGTTATAATCCATTATTGGAATATTTTTATTTAACATTCACAATCACAGAGCCTTTAAAGCTATGCAAAATATGCTGAATCAAGTACCTACCAGGATTAACCTCAACACAAATCCTATTTGCCCATACATAATAATACCCTCAGGTAAGCCCACTCAGGGTAAATTCAGCCAACACATCCTGTCCCATGCTACGGGAAGAGAAAAATCTGGAGGGCAGTTCAGATTTGAAGCCAATTTTACAGTTCACCAATGAAAAAACAGGACCTGGAAGCTCAATTCTGCTTTTAAGAAGTGGAATGTATTGTTTTGTTTTATGTTGACAATGACTAGCCTACTCCAGCAGCCTCCCAGCCCCCACAACTTGGCCTCTAATGCAACCAGTCACCCTGAAAGCAGCCAGGGCTGTTATTCTGTACCTTCCAGTAGCCTGGACTTGGCTCTTAAAGGATTGTCAGATCATCCTCCCAATATGGCTGCCATGGTAATTCTACTATGAATACAGTGACTACATACAGCCTTTACCACATCTGGACATAACTGAATAAGCCCCTTCCTTCTCAACCTCTCTACTCTTTCTAGCCTTCAAACCTTCAGTTTTCCCAGTCCCATTATGTGTCTCTTGCTTCATCAGTCTCAAAAAAGGGAATAATTACATTCCTAAATGAAGCCTTGAACACCAGCAAAGACTTGAAAAACTGAGAGGGCAAGGGTTTTAAAAGAGGAAATATCCTTTCTATAGAAAGGGTAGACATTGCTCAGAACCTCCGCACCCTTTGAAAATAAATCAACCAGCTTGTCCATGAGAACCACTGGAAAGAACTATCAGGAGAATCCTGGCATCCAACTACCTAAAGATCAGGTTAGCACACATCAGCACCTTGGAGGATGGAGCAGCAAGAACCCAGTTGGCCTGGTGTCTTGCAAGAAGTGTAGGGTAAACAACAGGGGAAAGGTGATCAAATCCACAACCAAAACCCTGAGTTGCTAACCCAAGCAAAGAACCACTATGAGGAGGGGCAGCACCCCAATAATTCATCGGAGGAAATAATAAACCTTTCCTTCTGTGGGGAGGGAGACTAGGAGAGGGGGAAAACGGGGATGGAGGGAGGGAAAGAGGAGGAGGGGGAGAGGGGGAGAGGGAGGGAGGGAGGAGGAGGGAGGGAGGGAGAGAGGGGGAGAGAGAGAGAGAGAGAGAGAGAGAGAGAGAGAGAGAGAGAGAGAGAGAGAGAGAGAGAGAGAGAGAGAGAGAAGGAACTAGGGTCCATTTGATATCCTCCCTGCAATACCAGCTGTCAGAGGGTGAAAGGATGCCCAGAAGCTTCCCTGATTCCCCCCCTCCCCCAAGCGGGGGCCACCTCCCCAGCTGCACACCTCCCTCCCGATCTCCTAAGAATTGGGGGAAGGGGTGGGGCGGAGGGGGGCCTTTGGCAGACTCGGGGTTAGCGAGAGCTCGCCCAAATTCCTGGCCCTCGCCCGCCTGTCAATCGCCACTAATGCGTCCCCCGCCCTCCCGCCTCCCTCCCTCGACCTCAATCCTTTCTTGGCGCTCCCCCTCCTCCCCCTCCCAGCCTGCCCGCGGCCGCGCGCCCCCTCCCCTCGCCCCCAGCGCCTCCCGCAGCGGCCCCTCCCTCCTCCCCCAGCCCCCAACAGGCCCCCCCACCCCGGGCCCAGCTCCCCGGCCTCACCTCAGGACCCAGCGCCGAGCCGGGGCGTGGGCGCGGCGTCGGAGGAGGAGAAGAAGGAGAAGGAGAAGGAGGAGCGGGAGCCGCAGTCAGCAGGCGCCGGGTAGGACAGCGGCGGCGCGCTGCAGCACCACCCCGAAAGGAGCCGCCGCCTGGGGCTGGAGCCGGAGCCGGAGAGCGGGGCGCCCCGAGCCCGTCATGGCGAGGCGCGGCCCCGCATCCCAGGGGCGACGCGAGGGCACCGAGGGCGGCTGGACGCGGCTGCGGGGCTGCCTGCGACTCCCACTACGGCAGTGGTCACACTAGCTCGGCTGAGGCGGCGGCGGCTGCGAAGGCGACACTGGCGGATCCGCCCCAAGCCCCGCCCCGCCCCGCCCCCGCTCCCTCGAGCCGCCGGTGCCGCCCTCGCCCCCTCGGCGCGTCACGGGACCCGCCTCCCAACCCGGGAAACTGGCACCGCCTGCAGCCAATGAGGAGGCAGAGTGCGAGGCGCTCCGAGCCTATAGGAGCGGAGGCGGGCCGGAGCAGGGGAGGGGGGCCAGCGAAGGGGCGAGAATTCTCGGGGACACCCACACAGCGCACCCTGGTGGCCCAGGAGCCCGAGCCGGCGGGGAGGGTACCAAGGGGGAGGGGGATGTATTGGGCCTTGCTAAAGGTCATCTCGTCTATGCAGCCCGACCCACAAGCCGGCCTGGAAGAGCCGGGCCTTGCTGGCCCTTTGGCAGCCTGGCCCCGCTCCAGGGCGAGCGAGGGAGGGAGGGCTCCACGTCCCGAGTCACGGGGCCCGGAGGAGGAATCAGGCTCCTAAAGCTGGGGCCGGGGGGTCTTGGCCGGACATCCAGACCCACCGCGGGCCTGACCGCGAATCCCCCTCTTTAAGATGCCGGACCAGTAGGCACGCGATCCGGCCTCTGCCTGCAGACTTCCGATGAGGGCGACCCCAGCCCAGGCCAGCCCGAGGCTGCTGAGCTCCAGGGGCTTAGAAAGGGGGCTTCTGACGTCCAGCCCTTCTGGTTCTTTACCTCTTCTTCCGCCCTTTGCTCCTGTTTCTGCCCTCAGGGGCCACCCTAACCTCTTTATCCTGGGACAGCCCTTTACAGACCCAAAGGCAGCTCTCTTGCTGTTCCCCAACCCCAAGTTTTCTCTTCCAGGTCAATCATTCCTAGTTAGATCTAACAATCACAATATTTGTTTAGCCAGTTAGTGGATAAAATTTGCGCCTTTTAGGTACCAAGCATTGTGTTAAGCACTGGGGATACAAAGAAAAGCAGACGAAGCTAATCTAGCTAGGGGGGAGGGAGTGAAGGGAGGGAGGATTTATTACCAAATCTCAGTTCGGATATAGTTACTCTTAGACTGCTGTAGAAGTTGTTGCTGAAATGTAAACAAAACCTGGTGTCCTTGGGTTGTATAATGCTTCCTATATTGTCACTTGGGTACTTTAAGATTTCTTTAACTTTGTTTTAAAGAAGTGAACCTAAAAATCTCTGAGAAGACTAAATAAATGGATCTAGTTTAAAAAAAAACCTCTCAAGGAGCTCACAGTCTAATTAGGAGAGACAACACGGAAAAAACTAAGTACAAAGAAGCTCTATACAGGGTAAATTGGAGATAATCAAAAGAGGGAAAGCACTACAATTGAGGAGGATGGGGAAACGATTCTTGCACAAGATGAGATTTTAGCTGGGACTTGAAGGAAGCCAAGAGGTAAAGATGAGGAGGGAGAGCATTCCAGGCATGAGAAACAGCAAGTAAAAATGCCTGGCATTTGGAGATGGAGTCCCTTGTTCCAGAAACCACAAGGAGGCAAGTGCCACTGGACTGAAGACTATTTGGTGTGGTGTAAGGTGTAAGAAAACTGGGAAAGTGGGGGTAGGGTGAGGGAGGGCAGGTTATGAATAGGTTTGTCCTGAAATAGGTGCTAAGGCTAAAATATAAAACACAATCTCAGTCTCTGGGGAGTTAAGTCTAGTTGTGGAGATAAGAGTATTTAGAATCTAGCTCATTATTTCATTCAACAAATAGACAAAGATAAATAAAACATAGTCCTTTTCCTCAAAGAACAGAGCATTTAATAGAACCAGGTAGTCTCAACTACTCTAAGATCATCCCCTGTCTTATCTTGGAAGATAAGATGGCTCTCCTCTTTGCCAAGGCTAATATACCTCCACTTGTACCCTTGAGCCCATTTCTTCAGGAACTCCATTAATTGCTCCTTCTCTTTTATCTTCACCCTCTCCCTCCACTTCTCCCTCTACCATCTCCTTTTCCACATCTGACAAACATGCAAAAATTTACTTAATCCCCGTCCAAAAAAACCCCCACAAACTTGCTCACTCGTTCTCTCTCTTTCTCTCTCTCTCTCTCTTCTTCTCCTCCTCCTCTTCCTCCTCTCCCTTTTCACTGCTAAACTTCTAAAGAAGAGAAATCTCTACTCATTGCTTCACCACCCACTTCAATCCTTGTTAATGGGCTTCCAACAACCATTCTACTGAAACTGCTCTCTTAATTGCCAAATATAATGACCTATTCTCAGAATTATTCCTCCTCCTCCTCGGCCTCACTGCAGGATTTAACACTCATAACAATGCTCTCCTACTTTTTCCTTCGTTGTTTCTTGTGCCACTTCTCTCTCCTGGTTCTCCTACCTGTCTGACCACTTCTTTCTCATTGATTCATCCTCCTCCACCTGCACCATAAGTGTGGGCGTCTCTCAAGGTTCTGGCCTTGGCCCTCTGCATTCTGTTGCAGTGATTTCATCCACTCCCATGGCAGACACCTCCCCAATTTGTAAATCCAGTCCCAGTTGTTCTTCCTGGAGTTCCAGGCTTGCAGCTTCAACTATAGACTGGACCAGGGGTGGGGAGCCTGCAGCCTCAAATCCATATGTGGCCCACTAGGTCCTTAAGTGTGGCCCTTTGGCTGAATCCAAATATCACAGAATAAATCCCCTTAGTAAATGGATTTGTTCCGTAAAACTTGGACTCATCAAAAGACCACAACCAAGGACCTCGAGGCCACAGGTTCCCCATCTCTGGACTAGACCTTTCCACTAATGTATCCCACCAGCACCTCAGTATGCCCAAAATTGAACACACCATCTTCCACCTCAAACCTACCCCTTCCTCCCAAATACCCCATTTTTATGGAGAGTAAATCATCTTCGTCTTTCCAGTTAGGTAACCTTCAAAACCCTGGTCATCTTTGACTTTTCTTTCTCCCTCATCACCCATATTCAATAAGTTACCAAGTCTCTTTTGATTCAGCCTTTACAGTCTTTCATGAATTTGCCTCCTTCTTTCCATTCATGCTGCTTCCACTCTAGTTCAGGCCCTCATGTCATCTTACCTGATCTTACCTTACCGCTCAGTGTGGACATTCCTCCTTGGGTCTATCCTGAGCCCTCTTTTCTCTTGACCCACTACCCTTAGCTGATATCATCAGCTCCTATAGGTTCAATGATCTCTACGTAAATTACTCCCAGGTCTCAATCCAGCCCTAAAGCTCTCCTCAACCCTAGTCCTTCATTATAACTATCTACCAGAAACCACTACTTGGATGTCCCATGAACGTACGGGACCATAGGCATATGCAACTCAAGACATCCAAAGGAGAGCTCTTTGTATTTCCCTCAGTGCCCCCAAACCCAAACTCTTTTTTTATTGGTTATTTATATGGGGGTAATTCTAAATGATCTTACTGTGTTCTGATCCTCCCAAAATTATATTCAAACAAATGCCAATATACCTCTGTGACAAAACAAAATGTAATCTCTGACTCCTCCCCCAAGGCACCAGTATAGTCATTGCATAGCGCCTTGATCAGAACCGCTTTGTATTTCTTATGAGTTACTCCTGGGTATTGGGATTTCAGAAGCAACAGTATCCAGACGCTGCCAATAACAATTCATTAAGGAGTCAGAGCTCCAAAATCCAGATTTCCAGATTTTTTTCTCTAAACTTCTACATTTTTCTTGATAGAACCATCATTCTTCAAGTGACTTAGATTAGATCAGCAAACTTAGATTCATTCTCTCCCTCTCCGCACAAAAATAGTCCTGTCAGTCACATCTGGTTGACTCTGGCCTCTCACATCTTGTACATCTATCAGCTTCTCCTCCCTCACAGGGCCACCACCCTAGTTCAGCCCTCGTTCCCTCTCCCTGTTGTAATTGTTGTTTCTGTCCTTTGTAATCTAGGAGGACCAAAATGGCGTCATGATGCTGGGGTCAACGTACAGTGTGTCTGACTGTGGCTGATCAAACCAATACAATCTCAGAAGGCTCTACCACACATTGGGCAGAAATAGTCCATATGAACATTTGGAGTGGAAATGGCTCTAAATTTATGCATCTCATATTTCTTTTGAACTGCAGTTCTGCTTTACTCATAGAATACAGTGCCTTCTTTGATGTAGGCACACCATGCTGAATGTTCCTTTGCCAGTATCTCCCATTTCTCACAATCAACTCCAAAGTTCTTCAGAGAGACCTTGAGAATGTCCTCTGTATGAGCACTTGCCTTGTGTGAGTTCTCCATAAAACAGTCCTTTAGGCAAACACATGGTTGGCATTTGAACAATACAGCCATCAGAGTTGTGCTCTCTGCAATAGAGCTTGAATCTTTGGCAGTTCAGCTCAAGAGAAGACCTCAGTGTCTTCTCTTGCCAGGTGACCCTCAGAATCTTCCTAAGACAATTCGAATGGAAGTGATTCCATTTTCTGGCATGGCGCTGGTAGACTATCCAGGCTTCACAGGCTACTACAATAGTCTCCTCATGGACTCCCCACTTCTGGCCTTTCCTCTTTCCATCCAATCCTCTACAGAGGTGCCAATTGATAAACTGAATGTACAGATCTGATGGGATCCCATCTCTACTCAATAATCATCAGTGGCTGTAGGAAAAAATACAAAATCTTTAGCCTATTCCTTAAAATCCTCTACATTCTGGCCCCCTCTACCACCTTGACAGTCCCAATTCCTATCAATTCCCTTCATTCACTTTCTATTCCATTTAAGGGGGAAAACTTGCCAGCCAGTACAATCAATTTATCAACAAGCAGTCAAGTGCCTTCTATGCTCTTGGCACTCTACTAAGTGGTATCAATACAAAGGTAAAAGCATAACAGCCACTACTCTGAAGGAGTTTGCATTCTAAAAAGGAAATAACAGGTACACCTGAGAGAGATACAAAGTAGATACCAGGTAATGTTGGGTAGAAAGGAAGTAATGAAGCAGGAGACCAGAAAGGCCACCTGCAGAACTTTGCATATCTACTAACCACTGAGAGAAACTAGAGCTTCTAAGAGGCAGAAGTTAGCATGGAAAGCCTCCCAGGAAGGGGTGATGGCATGGAGATTGGAGATGGAACATCTCTATATGTGGAATGGTGAGTGGGCCAGTATATTTGGACTACAGAGTGCATGGAGCTTAATGAACTCATGTAGGATAAGACTGGGGAAATAGGAAGGGGCCTGGTTAAAAACTTTACACGTCAAAAAAAGAAGAGTTTATTTTTGATCCTAGAGGTAAGAAGGAGCCACTGTGGTTTTTTGAGACGGGTGGTAATGCATTCACACTGGCAATTTAGGAAAATCACTTGGATGATTGGAAGAGGGATTGGATTAGGGAGAGACTTGAGGTCAAAATAGGAGGCTGTTATAGTTCCAGGCAAGAGGTGATGAGCACCTGAACCAAGATGGTGGCTGTGTGAGTGAAAAAAAGAGGAGATACAGAAGGATGCTGTAGATATAGCAATGACCAGATGTAGCAAATGACTTGTTACATGGAGTAAGTGAGAATGAGGGGT